CGTTCGGCACCGAGTGCGGGTGTGTTCGGCAGGTGCTGCCGCGTTACCTCGATCTGGGCCGTGTGCTTGGCGTAGAACTCCAGGGCCTCGTCCCCGTCCACCTGGCCCCCCGGCTTCAGCATGCTCTGCAGCTCCTTGTTGTGCCGCGCCAGCTGCAACACAGGGCGGACGGTGGTGTCCCCGCACCAGGCCGCGCTCCCGCCCTCTCGGGGAGCAGCGAGACGGGGTCCTGTACAGCCCAGGCCTCTGTCCAGAGGGCGGACACCCTCTCGGTGGCCAAACGCACGAATGGAGGAGCTGAGGGCAGGGACTTCGTTTCTGCTGCCGGTGGCAGGGCCTAGCGACCTCGGCCCAGCACCGTCACCGTTTACATCTAATTCCTGACCTTGGCGGGGGGGAGGGGAGTGGGGAGGGGCAGGAAACAGGCCCTCAGCCCAGCCACGCGGCCACACCTGCGGGGCAGGCACCGGGCCTCCCGAAAGAGGAAGCTCCCCAGAGCCCAGTCACTTGGGAAGGGGATGACGACAGGGGCGCTTGGGTGCCGGGCGGAGGTGACCCCCCCAGGCAAACAGAGAGAAGGCACAGCAAGGGCTGGCCCCGGAGGCTTCGGCCATGAAGGCAGCAGCTGGGCGTGAGACACTCACAGACCCTGACCCTCCTTTCAAGTGTCTCCAGCCCTGTCATCACCCATCTCCGCGTCCCTGCCCAGCACCACGGCTGCTAGAAGTGGGGGGAGGGGGAGGGGGGTTTCCAGGGACGTGACCCCAGCACCGTGGGAGGGGAAGCGTCCTGGAACTCAGCACTCGGCCAGGCTGCCCTTAGCGCCCGGGAACCCCCGGCACGGACAGAGCCAGCACAACTGGGTGAAGCCGGGAAGGAGGGAGGGGGCACACGGGCGAGGGTCCCGGCAGCGAGGGGGGCCGCACCTGATGAGCTAATATGTAGATGTTGTGGCCCACGTTCCGGGGGGAGGCCGCTCCGTCCTCGCCGTTCTCCTCGTTCTCGCCCTCCTCTGGCTCCTCCTCCCCCTCCCCCTGCAGGTAGGCCTTCTTGATCACCTCCACCTGCAGGGAGGACCCGGGACATGGCTCCATCAGGGCCCCCGGGCCTGCCGTCAGCAGCACCCACGGCGCGGCCCCCTCCTTGCCGGCTCAGCACCTTCCCATGAGGCGGGGACACGCCTCGGACTCGTCTCCACGCGGCCACAGGAGTCCCCCGCTCCCACCGACACGGAGATGCTTGCATCTGCGCCTGCCCAGACCAGGAGACCCCCGTGTGCTCACGCCCTCTCCTCCAGAAGGGACAATGGCTCCCTAAGTGACTCCCACAGTCAACAGGGCACAGACGAGGATAGAGCCAGCCTCTCCCCATCTCCC